TCGATCGGACTGACGACTATTCATGGTTCAGACGACCCTGCAGTTGACTGTTTGCTGTCAATCAGTTTACTTTGGTTTTAAAATATTTAAGGTTGCATTGGGACGATGCACTTTTAAAGGGGGAGTAATGCCGCGCGCACGACCGAGAAGGAACGCTTTTCCGTACTTCTAGAAGATTCGTGTTTACTCTGACTCCGAGTGTAAAAGTTAAGAAGACCAGAATGACCTTGCCAGGTCAGTCTCGCCCTAGCCCTCGAATATTCTAGGCCGAATATTCGAGATACCGAGGGTAATCGATAAGGAACCCATAGCGGCTTTGCCGATACATTCTGTACATTCTCTCTCGCCTTCTTGATCAAACCAGCTGCCACGCCGACGCCGCGACGTTCGCTGCCGCTCTTTTGTCGCTCATCCTTTTTTTTTTTTTAGTTTCCAGCACATGTTTGCCGAATAAATATTTATTTTCAGTTTCTCTCTTGTAGATTCATTTCCATCTGCGACAATTTTTAGTACCCCGCACCTCCACCAGAAATGTCGCAGGTGGAAACGGATAGAATCGACGAGCGTAAAACTAAAAATAGAGATTTAATTGATGAACCTGTGCCAGATACATAAGAAAGGATGAGCGTCAAAACAGCGGCAGCAAAAGTCGCGGCGTGTCGGCGTGACTGCGTTGGCGTGGCAGCTGGTTTAGCAAGACTGTGAGAGATAACATATCGGCAAAGCCGATGAACCGCGATTGGCTCATTATCTATTAACGTCGGTATCTCGAATATTCGGCCAAAAATATTCGAGAGCTATAGGGCCAGACTGACTCGACAGGGTCATTCTGGCCTTCTTTTACACTCGGGGTGGGAGTAAGCACGAATCTTCTCGAAGTACGGAGTAGCGTTGCTTCTCGATCATAAATGCGGTATTATTCTGCAGGGTGTTTAAAAAAAGTCTTAACCCTGTTCTTCTATCCAAAAAGCAACGCATCGCCCCATGCTCAGTACATGCTCGAATATAGCTCTAGACGCAGTCTTGGGCAGTAACTACTTACCAGGAACGTGTTACCGGTAACTAGCTACTTGTTTCAGTGACTTGTAATTGTAAATCGCCACTTAATGAAAAAAACCAATAACTGTAACAGGGTTGCTATTTCTCCAGAGTAACTGTAATGAGTAACGTCGTTACAGTTACTTCTCAGATTTATGTGCAAAACGATTCGATTCACGGGTGGATTCGAGTGGTATAAGAAAATATTTACAAGTCTGATTGCAAGTTATGGCATATTATTATTGACTACACATTTGCACGATTTTTACTGCTTCCATCTCATTTCGCCTCAACAAAGATATCTGAAATTAGAATTGACCGATTGTAAACTCGCACTATATAGGATTCGATATACCCGATATTCAGAAGCGCGCCGTTGTATTCCTGAATACCTTATCGTGGTCCCGTTTATTTTAAAGTTCTTTATGGATCATCAGCACGTATCGGCTAGCTTAACATTTAGAAAAAAACTAAAGTCGCCAGATACTTTTGCTAAAGACCTATAAATGATTTATCATATAGTGGATTTACTCAATACTGTCTTACATTATCATCTTTTTTAGGGAGCTATTCATGGTGAAAATTGAAATAGCAAGAATCGAACATGTTAATCTTGATTATTATGAAAACCTTAGTTTCTCAAAACATCAGATACACTACCGTAAACAACGCATTATCTTATAAAAAAAATCTATGCCAAATAAAATATTATTAAAGAGTAACTGCAAAGAAAAAATGTTTTCTAAACAACTTATATGGGACAAGCATGTCAGAAAAGAAATCTTCCGCGAAAAAAAAACACATTTTTTCTAGCATATATTTACGCCACAGGCGTAATTTAATCGGATTCACAACTTCTCCACATTTGAAACTCCCGCTCTTTCGACGCGCGCGGAGTGGCTGTTATACGTCACTCCGTGACGTATATAAGCCACTCCGTGACGTATAATACCAACTTTGTGGCGCGCGATTTAAAACGGACGAAATAGCCGCAAGCTAAAACCAGTCTAGCGCAATAAATATTGCTGTAAAAAAATGCTTGTCCCAATCAGGCTGTTTAAAAATACACTTTTTTCTTCGGAATTACCTTTTAAGGAATGTTCTTTTTTAATTGTTTCTAATATTTGTTGTGTTGTAGCAACGAAGTAACGACGTTACTATAGCCAAGTAACTGTAACTGTAGGAAGTTACTCTTTAATTTTTTTTAACTCTAACTGTAGCAGGAATACGTTCCCCCACGAGTAACTGTAACTGTAACACTTACATTTTAGCAGTAACGTGCCTATGACTGGCTAGTCGTTGGGGTAAAATGTCGTAGTTTCAGGACCTTTCCTTATAAGTACCTAAATATTTAGAAGCGAATTTCGGAAATGTTTTTGTGAGAGAATGTCGGCCAACGAAGTTAGCGAATTTTTGACGAGACAAGTATACCATCTGCTACAAGGGAGCAAACCCCATAATTTATTTTTAAAAAAGCCCGACAATGAACCCTTTTTGAAAAGTGTCTGCCATATCTAGAAGCTGCTTCGCCAACCATCTTAGTCCGCCATTGTTTAGGCACGTACTGAGCATGTATTTGACCCGAGGGCTGATGTTAAAAAAAATCTACTGCCCTAACACAAGAAAAGACTTTATTTTCTCTTTTTTCTTTTGGAGCCTTCAAGAACAGGATACAATATAGGTTTTTCTTTCCCCTTTTTAATCTCCTCCGTGTTCTTCGTCTCTTACATATGTAGGCTTTTAAGGGATAGGCTTAGTTCGTTCGTTTTGGTTTTGCTTTGCTTTGTTGTTTTGTTTGAGTTGACCAAGCAGCTGAAACCTATATTTGTGGGGAAAGAAAAGAAAAATATTAAAATTAATCACTCGGAAAGAAAATATTTTCTTTTTTAAATAGGTATTATTGTGTGCTTTTTAACGGCGCTTCACTTACCCGCACTAATTGAAACGCACCGGCGTTCGCGATCGTTTTCGTGTTCACTTTTTGCTGCTTTAGTATGCTTTCTAGCTTAACCTGTGTCTTGTTTGCTTTTTTTTTTCTCTTTGCCTGGTGTATTTTATAACAAAAAATCTTCCTCAATCCACAGTAAAGTTTAAAAAAAAAAAAAGACTTCACAATCAGTCTGGCAATCCCGTACAATCCCGCTCGATCGACCATCCAGGAAATAAGGAACACGCCGCACAGGCGAAATTCGCGATAATTATTATATTTTCTCTTGGTCAAAACGCTTTTAGGGTTTTAAACTAAACTATACTATATTCTACCCTTTCTCATTATCTCTTTGGGCTTCCGGAATCCGTTCCAGCTGGTGCGCTTTTGGAGATTATTAAATGTCCTCCATAGTGTAGAGTCGTATGCCGTTCCTTGTTTGTTCATTGTTTCTATGCAAGTTGGATTAAGTAGATTAATTGAGTACTGAACTTTAAAGTTAATTTCGAATTACTTCTAAAAAATGCGTTACATCCAGGGTGGAGTACAAAAACCAATATGAATTAAATCTTGATTTAAAAGTCATGATTGAAATCGTGATATAAAGCAGACCAGGTTTACCATGACGATTTAAATCAACCGCTTTCTACCAACATAATCTAAAAACGTATGTTTTATTTGCAGTTTGTTTTACATATACTGGTTTAGATGTGCATTTGTTTTGTATGCTTAAACGAGATAATCATAAAAGAAGGAAGCATTATATAAAAGAGAACACGAGGAAAAAGAAGTGCTATTCTGCCAAATCGGAGCGTTGCAGCCTTCCATTCCTTTCGCCAGCTCCGTAGCGTCGTATTGCAGCAAAAGCAGGACGCAAGAAAAAGGAAAGAAAACGAGAAGTGCAATGACCTATTGTTACAAAATCAAAACTCGAAAGGTAAATAATAAAATGTTTTTTTCTTAATTAAATATAAAAATCAGGTTCTTTCGTTCTAGTACGGCGCGGAATACAGAAATGAAAAGTTGTTAATTAAACTGTACTTAACATTGAGAGTAATTGTTTCTTCCGCGCTCTTATAATGTATCTGACGAATCGATCAATCAATCTGCCCTGTTCAAAAATACGTCCACTGGTAAAGAATCGAGATTTTCTAACTTGTCCTGATTTAAATCCGCATAACCACATATACGAAGGATAGCCCGTAATCCCGTGAAGGTTTCTTATCAATAATATCATTGAAATAGGATACGCCATAAGTCGGGGGACGCATGTCTTCGCCACCGTCTCTTGCCAAAGTGTAGTCAAATCATACTTTGTCCTGACGTTCCTGAGAGTCCTCGCCGGAACTTGCTTACAGTCACGTTTTCATTTGTTCACTCAAAAGAACCTTCCCTACAGTCATACCGGCCTGCGGTTCCGGTAGAACCGGGACACGGCCTCTTCATCCTTGTCCGCCTTGCACGGAACATTGGAGGAGAGCGGCTGTGCGACAGGTGATTCCAAGTAGCCGAACGGCAGCCACAAAAGTTTTGCACTTTTGTCTGTAAACAGGTTTCTTATAAACAAGCTCACGTGACCTCGAAATTCCCCTTTGAAGAAACCATGGAGGTAAGAAGCTGCTGGAGTTAACCTGACGCCACCAGAGGAGAAGCGGGGTAGACCTCCGGTTGTGAGGGACACGCCCCCAACGATAACCAAAAAGGAACAAAACCAAAAGACGCCATTGGGCTGAGATGACGCCCTTGGGGGCATTTCTGCCGACCCCGACCTCTACTTCCGCCTTCACTTGGGATTTTCTCTTTTGTCTGGCTTGAGTCGGTGTATTGCCTACTCTTCTTCCATCCGCTAATACGAAAGAGACCGACCTTCTGATGTCCGCCATTTTGCATCATCGGCGCGCTCTCTAACGTTGCAGAAGTTGCGTACTCCGATGGAAGCATTTCAATACTTCCCGAATTCGGGAGAGTATTCGAGAATTATGCGGGGCACATATAGTCTAAAATCTTATTTTGGCATTTATTATTTTCACCCAGAGGAAGACGAGCCACTCCCGGAAGTAGTTCAATACCGGGCTAACCCTGGCGACCTCGAAGCAAGCTGCGAAGGGAGACTGTTTAAAAAAATAAGTTTAATATCTTGGACCTATTAGGCCCGTATCATATATTCAGCCGATAAGAACAGACGCGTACACTTGATCTTAGCCAAAAGGCAGAGAAGCGACACTGCTGCATGGATAAAATTTTTCACATCCGCAACAAGCTTTTCGCGATAGCGAAGTACCCCGTAGCTTAATGCTATTTTTGCAAATTTATTCAAATGAACAAATAGCAATATTCTATACAGAAATATTAGTATCGCCAAGTTGCTTCTATCCATAAGTTAGATTCAATCACAAAACGAAGCCTAGAGCTATCTGCTTTATATTTGTGCTCACCGAAACGTGCAACGTCTTGTGCACGAGACGTGCGTTCCTAAGCACGTCTCATTTTTTAATAACTTTTCAAACAAAACTAAACAAAATTACTTTCTTTCTTAGGACTTTGCTCTTGAAAAGGTTCAAATGTCCTTTCCGTGTAACAGAAGTAATCTCCATGATCGAGCTACTTCCCAGATATACTCCTTTCTCCTTAGGTTGGACCACAGCGGACGCTATGTGACGCATTCTTCGCTCCTTTCACGTCTGAGCTGACAGGGAAGCCACACACTCGTTGTTGAAGTCTATCCTTCGTCAAGGGATCACGCCCGCACCCATACCCAGGCTCTGAGAGCAGGGTCGGGTGGTAAAGGGGAGGTGGCTGTTGGATCCGCTGAGCGCGTAGCTCTAGCTGCAGTGTCAGCTTTAAAGCCGCAGTTACACTTCCTTCGTGCACCATCCAAGAGACACAGCATCCGCGGCAGGCAGAATTTTCTGCCGACGCACCACGGGCAAGTTCCAAGCGGCTACTGTCCAGCGCAAAGTGAAACGCAGTATAGGAAGCGATCGGCCCTCTAAAGTGAGCAGTCCAGGGTAAAGCAAGACGGCAGAACAAGGTTCTGAATAGAGAGTATAATTGTTCCTTCCGGGCAAACTTATGTCCGACAGAACACGCTTTGAAGGGGAGAGAGGGTGCCTTAAAAATGATATACTGCTGTAACATAAGAAAGGACTCTTTCATTTTTAGACCCTTCAAGTACAGGAGGTAGTTCATGTTTTTCGTTCCCCTTTTTAATCTCCTCCTTGTGCTTCGTCTCTTACATATGTAGGTTTCTTAATGGCTAGGTTTATTTTGTTCGTTTGGGTTTAGCTTTGCTTTGTTGTTTTACTCGAGTTGACCGAGCAACTGAAACCTCTATTTATAGTGAAAAAAGAATAAGATAAATCACTGAGAACGAAAATATTTCTCTCTACTTTTTTTTTTAATGTGTATAAATGTGTGTTCTTAAATGGCATTTCACTTAACCGCGGTAATTGAAACGTACCAGCGTATGTTTTTTTACTGCTTTCACTTTTTTTGTGGTGGCCGTATGTTTTCTAGCTTAGCCTGTGTCTTGTTTTTTTTTTTTTTTTTTTTTTTTTTATTCTTTTTGCCCGGTATATTATATAACAAAAAGTCTTCCTCAATTCACGGCAAAGTTTCAGGAAAAATAATTCACAATCAGCGTGTCGATTTCCCGGTACGATTCCGCTCGCTCGAGAATCCAGGAAATAAGGAACGCGCTGCACCTGCAATGTAATCGATAATATTTATATTTTTTTCTCGGCCAAAACGCCTTTAGGGTCATACACTAAACTATACTATATTCTACCCCTTCCCATTATCGCTTTGGGCTTCCGGGATTCGTTTCTCCTGGAGCGCTTTTGAAGATTATTAAATGTCCTCCATAGTGTAGAGTTATGTGCGGTTCCTTGTTTTTTCATTGTTTCTATGCAAGTTGGATTAGGTAGATTAATTGAGCACTGAACTCTGAAGTTAATTGCCATTTGCTTCTATAAAGTGCGATACATCCAGGGTGGAGAATAAGAATGAATATGATTTAAATCACGATTTAAAAGTCATGATTGAAATCGTAATTAAGATCAGACCAGGTTTACCATGGTGATTTAAATCAAACGTTTTCCACCAAGATATTCCAGGAAATATTATCTTGTTTTTTACTGTTTCTTTCACATTTAATGATCTATATGTACATTTGTTTTGTGATAATCGTAAAAGAAGGACGACTTATGTAAGAGAGAGCACGAGCACAAAGAGGTGCCATTTTGGCAAATCGGAGCGTTGCAGTTAATTTCTACCTTCCATTCCTTTCGTTAGTTCCGTGACGTCATATTGCAGCAGAAGCAGAACGCAAGAGAAAGGAATGGAAACCAGAAACGTTATGACCTATTGCAATGCATTCGAAACTGGAAAGGAAAACAATAAAATTCTTTTTTTATGTAACTAAACAAAAATCCGGTTCTTTCGAGCAAGGCATGCTCGAAAGAAAATATCAAGTAAGACAACGCCAAGTAGGCTCTCCGTCGCCTTCCATCGTGTTTTTTTTTTTTTTTCTCCCGTGCAGGAGAAAGCTTTTCGTGCTTATTTATTTTTGTCTCTTACATTGTTTCACCCTTTCCAACTTCTTCGACGTCTCCCGCAACCTGCACAGGCATCAAACGCGGGTCCGTAACCCCTCGATTCGCGGGTTCACAACTCGCGTAACAGACGATGGAAGCTCGCGCGAAGGGTTCGCAGTGATGTGATTGGCCTAAGCCGTTTTGGAGCACCTTTCGGAGCAGCCAAAACAGTGTTTTGGAGCAGCAAAAGTGGCTTTTGAAGCAGATATTCTTAGAAAAATAAAAATATTTGTTTTAAGTGGTGGACAAACAAAGGGCACTTGCTCGCCGCAATAAACAAATTATGGTCAAGCTAGACCACCTCGGAGTCTTTCAACATGTAACTGAAATGCCAATGACATGACACATTTTGCAATGCTTCAGTTAAATGATACATATATATGTACACCCGCCGTCAATACGAAGGTGAACACCTTACCTGGTCTTTTGCCGGTTTTACGGCTCCGTAAAGCTATATTAACTCTCAACGTCTCAAATGGTGCGTAGCTTAGGGGTCTAAACTTTGCGTTCTAGCCCTCTTCTGGAACAGAGCTTGCTCGAAAACTTGCAGGAGCGTCAAAAACAAGAAGAGGGCTGTTCACCTTCATATCGCTCACGCTTTAGATAAATAAGAACAAAACTGCACATATTAAAATTTATTTGAAAATGATTAGCTTAGTAGTAAATATCACAGCAGTAGGTTGACTAGTTATATAATATAATGGAAGCAGTCTCCAACTGATGAAACACTTAACTACTGCAGAGCAATGCGAATTTGTACACAAGACAAAGGTGATTACGAGTCTTCGCAGGTGCTTTTCTTTTCGCTTTCCGAAACTTTCTGCAAGGCTGCTCCAAGCCTCGCTTCGCCTTCAGAAGAGACATTGAGACATCCCAGAGGTGTGCAGTGCTGTAGGCGTTGCCGAGCAATTCCGAAAAACCGCTTGCCACCGCTTTACTGGTTCCCGACGTGCCAGCTTTTCGTCAAGAGTAAGCAAACGTAAAGCAATGGATTGCAAGCGTTTCGGCTGGTGCCTCTGTCGTGCAATCACGTTCGCATGCACATGAGGGCAACTTCGGCAGGCTTGCAGTTGCACATGCTTCATCACGATCATCTGGTGGGCTAGTTGATGGATCATATCAACAATATGCACATGCTTCGTCGCGCGAGCGGAGATGGTTGTTCAGCCGAAACCGAAACCATGGCACTCCGCTCATTTGCCAACTGGTTCCCAAAACTGTAAACAAAATGGAACTGTCCAGCACACGACAAAAACAAAGTCCAGCGGCACTTGCTTGCAAGGCGGGCAAACAGGGTACATGCTAAACACACACAAAAAGTGAAAGCCGTTTACAACTCCCTGTAACAACGAATTAGAGCGCAGCTCTTGAGGAGGAGGAGGGAAGGGTACTGGGGGGTGAAGTGACCTGGGGGGGTCACGTGACCTTGGGGAGTCACGTGACCATGCCGATGATGTCATCAGTGACGTCACTGATGACGTCATCAGTGACGATGACGATGCGGACTCCGATGACGTCATCAGCGATGATGACGATGACGATGCGGATGTCGGTGACGTCATCAGTGACGTCACTGATGACGTCATCTGTGATGATGACGATGACGATGCGGATGCCCCCCGAAGTCACGTGACACCCCCAGGTCACGTGACCCCCGCCGAGGTCACGTGACCTCCCCGATGACGTCATCGTCACTGATGACGTCACCGGCATCCGCATCGTCATCATCACTGATGACGTCATGTGACGTCACTGATGACCTCACCGGTATCCGCATCGTCATCGTCATCATCACTGATGACGTCATCAGTGATGTCACTGATGACGTCATCTGTGATGATGACGATGACGATGCGGATGCCCCCCGAAGTCACGTGACAACCCCGGTCACGTGACCTCGGCGGGGGTCTCGTCATCGTCATCGTCATCAGTGACGATGACGATGACGTCATCGTCACTGATGACATTACCGGCATCCGCATCGTCATCATCACTGATGACGTCATGAGTGACGTCACTGATGACCTCACCGGCATCCGCATCGTCATCGTCATCATCACTGATGACGATCAGTGACGTCACCGGCATCCGCATCGTCATCGTCATCAGTGATGATGACGATGAGGATGCGGATGCCGATAACGTCATCGGGGAGGTCACGTGACCTCGGCGGGGGGTCACGTGACCCTGGGGGTGGTCACGTGACCTGGGGGTGTCACGTGACCTCGGGGGGGGGGGTCACGTGACTTTGGGTCACGTGACCTTGGGGTGACCTTGGGGGTCACGTGACCTTGGGATGACCTTGGGGGCCACGTGACCTTGGGATGACCTTGGTTACGGCGACGCCGACGCCGCTCAAGCCGGGAACGGGCCCCTAAGAGCTGCGCTCTAAAAACAGAACCTGGGTGCATCGATGCAAGACATCGCGAGCCAGGGTCAAAACGTTCTTGGAGCGCTTTGTGCAACGACTGAACTCGAGACAAACAAGCGCGTTGTGCGGGTTCAGCGTGCATACATTGCCTTCTTTGTTTTAGATCACTTCTCTTCAACAACTTTCTTTCGCGGGAGATTTTTCACGTACCGGAATCCCTCTCGAAAGAAAGCCTACCGAGAGAAACCTAGGTAAT